CTATCTTACCATCCTAACTTTCCAGCCCCAAACTTCTTGATCAGTCAGCTTACCATTTTTTAGGTTCTGGTACACAAGACACTGAGAAAGATGCACTATACAACAAAAAACACATCCTGACAAAGAGATCAGAGATTTAGCTCATCGGCTTTGGCAAGTTCTCTTCATGGAATAATTTGGCACACAACCACAATACAGGTAAATTCATGGAAGAACGAGCAACACTCCAGGTCACCTAGGAGAAGCGACAGACCGCTCAACTCCAAGCTGACACAATGAGAACCTGAGATGACGTTGAAGCATAGATGCAGAAAATGCTGGAAGTTGTCCAACAAAGACCACAGCGCAGAATCTGAACTGAAACCCAGGTTTCCACTTCAATTATACCCTCTGCCCTTTCAGTTTCACTCCAAACACGCCAACTTCAGAAGAAGAAAAAAAAAAATACGCGTGATTCTTATAACTGTCATTTAAAGGAATTTGAAATTCTGAGAAAAAAATGGGGTCAGAAAACGCTTTTGCTTTTCTATTCCTCTTCCTCCACCCACTCCTTGTTAACTCTCCTTTGGATTCTTCTCATCTGCAGTTAATATCGTCAACTAACACAGAGTAATAATTCCTAAGTCTATATCTCTAGAATCTCCCCATTCTCTTGAGTCCCCATCCTGTGTATTCAACTGCATTCTTGACATTTTTGCCTGTACCCCCTGGTTGCCTCAAAAAACAAAACAAAAAACAAAAACAAAAGGCATTAAAAATTCACCATTTATCCCTCTGCCAGTCAACCAGCACCATCTTGTGGCTATACTGCCCCTGACCAGGGGAACCACGTAATTAGAAACATGTACCACTATGGGTCTCTTATCTCAGGTACCAAATTCCATCAATTCTCCAAAACTCTAAGTCTTGCAGACTCACCCAAACTATCCCTTTTACCAAAGACCCACAAACCTTACTGACCACTCACCAATTCTACAAAAAAAAAAAAAATTGCACATACACGTATTCGATATGCCAAAAACAGTAACAACAAGTTTCACAATTTGTTGTGAGACATTACTGGTGCCTGCTCGAGCAAATCGATGAACAACGGGAGGACAGTGCTACAGTGCTACATGTAATCAAAACCTATGCAAACTTACATATTAAAATATAAATCCTATAAAAGTGGTAAATCATAAAAATTAACTAGATTGTACTTAAAATATATGTGACATTAAGTTTCACATTTTCTTCTTAAACTTCAGTGAGTCATTGTTTTATCACTCCCTGGTTCCAGAAACTGCACTTTGGAGTCTATGAGTTGTTCTTGTAAGAAATATGTGATTGCAAGTGTATACGTGCATTTATACAGATCCTGTATTTTTCACTCAGACACACTTCCCACACTTTCATAAGACGATATACATGTTCATTGCTAAACAAGTTAACCTTATCTTCTAAAGCCACAAATCAAAAATAAAGTTTAAAGATAGTTAAACTTTAAAGATAAAGTTTAAACACAGATTCTTAAAATAATCCACAGTACTTTACTTTATAAATAAAACTTGGCTATATGGGTTTCATAACTAGTTATCTTTTAAAAAGATGACTATTTATAAGATACATCTTGGTTCCTTTAGGACACAGAGCTCCTGAAAAAAAAAATTCTCACTCTTTTCCACCACCAACTGAAATATTCTAAAAACTGCTGGTGTTCTGGAGGTTATGCACTGCTACATTTCAGGACCCTGAAGACACTTTTCTTCCCTACCTTTACCTATCAACCCAGCCATCCTGTCCCACAACCATTATGTCTGGAACATAAAAGGAAAAGCCCCCCCCCACACACACACACATACACACGCACACACAAAGGTCCTAATAGGCAAACTAGCATAAGAAATACATTGTTTGCACAATATCATCTAGGACTCAGTCAACAGATCCCAACTCTTCTGTGCAGAGTAGGAGAACCTCTAAAATTTAAGAGTCCATGTAAGTCCTCTCAAATGAATAGCCTGTTATACACAGAAGAACTTAAGACTCAGTCTTGGCTCTTACTCAGGTATCACGCCCAGAGGGCTTGGGAGACCCTACGGGAGATGCCAAGGAGTGAACTCAGGTTAGCAGCTTGCAAGGCAAGTGCCTGACCCACAGTACTAATCCTGAGAAATTTAGATTCTTGAAACTCAAAAGTGCCAATACTCTTACCAGTCAGAGTTTCCTTTTATTTTAGCAGTCTAGTTAGAAAGCAAACCAATTCAGACTATTGAAGAAAATTATCTTCTTTAGAGTATTTCACCAGTCCCCTGCTGTAAGTCACACAGGTAAAATGCCAAACGATTAAAATATTAAATGACAACTAATCTATGAAAATCAACATGCAACTATTTGATATAGTGGCCAGGGGTGTAACCCAGTGGACGAACCTGGAGGAGAATTTGAGTTCAACTCCTCGTAAACACACCCAGAGACAACAAAAAGCACACATCAACAAAAAGTGCAAATCATAAAATCTTAAATGTGTTGATGTGTGGGGCTGGAGAGATAGCACAGCGGGTAGGGCGTTTGCCTTGCACGTGGCCGACCCGGGTTTGATTCCCAGCATCCCATATGGTCCCCTGAGCACCGCCAGGGGTAATTTCTAAGTGCAGAGCCAGGAGTAACCCCTGTGCATGGCCAGACGTGATCCAAATTGCAAAAAGCAAAAAAAAAAAAAAAAAAATGTGTTGATGTGTGAAGACAATATGATAATTTGGAGTTTACTCGATTTCTGGTTTATGAAAGTACTAACCATATCCCCTGTCCTTTTAAATAGCATCCTAATAACATCTTTCATCTCACACTGACTTTTAGGATAAGAAGAAAGGCTTTCTCCTCAAATGCCTGTAACCAAAATAATCAATTTGTCCCATGTTTTCAATTTATCACTTCATCTTAGCCTGTCACTCATCCGATTCAGACTAACGAAATAAAGTTATTTTTAAAAGAGTATTATAGTTGGCATCTTCAGTAAGCCCTGACCCCTCTGGTTCTGATGTGCATGCAAGTCAGGACAGGGAACCACCAACTGTAAAAGCAGTCTATTTACAATCTGCTATTAAGGCTATCTGCAACGTCAGAAAAACGCTCAAACAAGTCTCATAGCAGTTATTTCTGTAACATCAAAATAGCGATAAAAAATGAAATCCAAATCTAAAATTAAAATGTGGAGGGCAGACTTAATGTCAATTACATTCCAACATTTAAAAAAAAAGTTCTTTTTAGGGGCCATTGAGAGAGAGAGATTAGCAGTGGTAAGACTTGCTTTGCCTGTAGCCAGGCAGGGTTACATCCCATGCGCCTCACAGCATTCTGGAGTCCCAGCAGAAGTGATCCATGAGCACAAAGCCAGGAGTAAATCCTGAACACCGCAACGTGGGGCCCAAAAACCAAAAAACAATAAAATATTTTTATTTATAATAAGGAGTAATTCTGGAAAAGGAGTTCATTGAACATCTACTCTCTGCTGTGTTTCACATTTGATTTTCACTATTGTACCATAGGAAACTTCAACAAGCACGGAAGATCACCTCTACTCCAAACACAAGCTCTGGGACCAGACCCCCTAGGGTCTCCACTTTATTACTAGATAACAAAAAGCAATTTATGCGTCCTGTGCCTCAGTTTCTTCATCGGTAAACCCGGGAGGGGGGAAAAAATAAGTGTATAGACTTCCCTGGACCAATTCCAGTATTAAAGGAGAAAACACCCCACCCCTCCAAACACACACACACACACACACACACACACGGGCAACTAGATCTAAGGCAAAAAGTGTCCCTTGGTATTATTTTATTTTTATTATTTGTGCCCACCGAATAGAAGAGGCCAGGGACGCCTGCAGAGCATATGATTTACTAGTGGCCCTAAGAACAAGAACGAGAACAAATTTTTGATCCCCTCCCCCAGATACAAGTCGGTTTCCATAAAAGCTGAGGCCTCTTCCCAAAGTAACTGGCGAAGGGTGACGCAGGAGACAAGGACGGGGAGTCAACAGCGGAGGGGCCGGGAGGGCGGGGTGGGGGTGGGGGGACCAGACCCGGACCCGGGTCCGAGTCCCGCGTCCCAGGGGCGCGGCTGCCTCCAGGCCCCGCAGCCGCTGGCGGCGCTGCAGCCGCCCGAGCGAGCCGACACTCCAGCGCGGCTTTTAGAAAAATTCAGTGGGGAAAAACAGGACACGGTGCCAACACTGCGCCTTCTTTTCCTAGCGGCTCTCGGACGCCAGCTTCGGGAGGGGGTGGGTAGACAGGGGGGCCCACCCACAAGCCATCCACAGGCCCCGAGACCAGCCCCACCCGGCCACGGGCGCAGCAAACTGGGACGCCAGCTTCTGCAAAGTTGGAGGGGTCGGGGGAGACCCGTTCGCACGCAGGAAAGACCGACCCAGAGCGGCCAAGAGACGGGAGACGGGAGAGAAGGAAAAGAAAGGAAAAAAAAAAGAGTGAGGGGGGTTTAAAAAAAAAAAAAGAGCAACCGGTCAGAGGAGAAAAAAGGAGACAAAGAGACTCTACAGAGCTTCCCGGCCCTTCCCAGATCCTGCCGGGCCGTGGAGTTCCCCCCTCCTGCCCTCCCCAGGCGGCGTCCTCCAGCCGCTTTCTCAAAGCCTGCCCGCACCGTGGCCGCGGGATCCCGGACGGGCTCGGGACGGGGCGTGGGGCGCCGATCGCCCGGGGACGGCAGGTGCCAGGGCGCCCTACGTCCTCGCCACTCCCCGCCCGCGGCGTGCCAGCGGCCGGGTGCGCGGGCGAGCGGGCGGGCGGCCCGGGCAGAGCTGAGCAGCGCGCTGGGCATGCGGCTTGGGCGGCGGCGAGCGCGGGAGGGCCCGGCCGGACGCCGCGGCCAGCAAGGCTGCGGCTCCGCGCCCCCGCTCCGGCCCACCGGGCCCGGCGGCCAGCACCGAGGTCCCGGTCCGCCCGAGAATTCCCGGGGGCCGCCGGCCCGGCCCTCCCCGATCCCCCGCACCCCGAGGCCGTTACCTTGTCCGGCCCTCCAGGCCCCGGCGCGCTCAGCTCGGGCCTGCAGCTCCGCGGCTCGCCCTCGGCCTCAGGGATCCCAGGCGCGGCCCTCGCCGGCTCCTCCTCCTCGGGGAGGGGGGACGGGAGGCGGAGACTCGGCGTGCCCGGGGCGCCTCCCCGCAGGAAGCCGGCCGGGTCTCGCCGCCTCCTCGGGCCGCCGCCGCCGCCGCCCTTTCCCTCCGGAAACGCATTCCAGCCCGGCCGCGTCAGCCCGCCCGGCCCGGGAGGCGGGGAGCGGGCAGGAAGCGCGCGGCCCGGACAAAGCGGGGGGCTCCGTGGGCCTCTCGGCGGCGCCCCGAGGCCTGGCGCAAGCCCCGGCGAGCGGCGGGGGTCTGCCCACCGGGAAGAACGCCCCTCGGGGGCGCTTTCCTCAAGTCTGCCCTCTTCGGCTCCGGGACTCCCCGCTTCCCGTCCGGGCGTTTGTCATCGCTTCTCTTTCGAGCCCCCCGCCCCGCACACCCCGCCAAGTCGAGACAGTTAACTCCGCAGTTTGGTTGGGGACCCCCCTCCCAACCCCCCACACCCCAAAGCGACTTCCTGGGGCTGGAGACCCAGGGCGCTTGCTTGACACGAGGTTGACCCGAGTTTGATTCTACAAGGCACCCAGCTGGGTTCCCCCCCCACCCCCGCCCCGATCTATCCCTGCCGGGAGTGGTCCCTGCGCACCCCCGGGTGTGGCCCCGAAACGAACCAAAAACCTGTTTTCCGTTTGGAAAAGAATTGGCTATAAAGCCTTTGTTTTGTTTTTCTAAAGTGATGAGGTGCACGAACTTGGGTCTAGGAGAAAGGCGAAGCCCTGGCAAACGTGGAGATGAAGACAGTTTTAGGGGAAGAAATGCAAGTTAGGGAGTGGCTTTTGCTAATTAATCTGCAGAAAAGGGGAAAGTTTCCTGCTTAGAAGGCGGCTCCAGCTCACTTTCTCCAGTAGGCGACAGTGAGATCTGAGGAAGGATCCTTTCAAAGACAAGGGAAGAGGCGGAGAGATAGAACACTAGGGAGGGGGCTTGCACCCCCAAAGATCCTCTGAGCCCACCAAGACTGATCCCTGAGCGCAGGCAGACCCAGGAGTGAACCCTGACCACCGGTTGTGGCCCCTTCGTCTCCCCCCCCCAACTAACCACCCCACCCCCCACAATAAACCCTAGGATCGTTCTAAGCATGCCCAGGCACATAGTGGGTAGAAACCCCCAACCACATGATACTAAACAACCCAGAAGTGGAAAATGAGCTGCTCCAAGTTGCCTCTGCTCGCCCCTGAGAACCCTCAGCAGACTGGTGGGAAAAGGGCACTTGTCAGATCTGAGGATCATCGGCCTGTATTTCACTTAGGTGAAATTAGAAACTACCATGCCTACCTGGCTCTTAGTCTTAAATATATTGCAAAAAATAAAACATCTCTGTGGAAAACTCCCATCTTGCTACCCAGCAAAATAAAATCTATTCGTTAGGCCATCTCTGAAGATCTTAAAATAAATGGGTTTGATTCACCTCAGCTCCTATCCCCACCCAGAATGCATGCAGGACCAAGCTTCACTGTATCGCTGTAATACTGTTATCCCGTTGTTCCTCGATTTACTTGAGCCGGCACCAGTAACGTCTCTATTCCTCCCAGCCTGAGATTTTAGCAGCCTCTCCTTACTGTCTTTCCCAACAATTGAAGGCTCTTTCAGGGGAATGAGACTGTTATCGTTACTATTTTTGGCATATCGAATACGCCACGGGGAGCTTGCCCGTGCTGGCGGGATACTCTTGGTACTTGCCGGGCTTTCTGAGAGGCATAAAGTAAAAGTAAAGGCCCTCCCGTTGATCATTGATTTGCTCGAGCGGGCCCAGTTAATGTCTCCATTGGAGATTTTGTTGTTACTGTGTTTGGCATATCGAATACAACATGAGGAGCTTGCCAGGCTCTGCCATGCGGGCGAGATACTCTCGGTAGCTTGCCGGGCTCTCCGAGAGGGGCAGAGGAATCGAACTCGGGTCAGGCATGTTGACTGCGTGCAAGGCAAACGCCCTGCCGCTGTGCTATCGCTCCAGCCCATATATTTCTCTCCATGGTTTTGTTGCCTGCTGTCTGAACCCCATCAAATATATAATGTGGTAATTATGGAAAATGGGTAGGAAGTGTCTTATGATGTGTTGTGCGACCACAAAGTGGCCACATGGTCCAGAAAGCAGCCTGGCCTGTGGTGGCAGTTGGGTAGTGAAGATTGCCTGGACCAAGCTTAGGAGGCTAAAAGATGCTTCTAGATTACTAACCCAATGGTAAGTAAAGCTGCCATTAGACCTCAACATTGTTTAGCTGAAAGGTGTTGGTTTAAGAGTATTCTGGTTAATTTTTTTCTGACAGCAGTATTCAAAATTAATCAAGATTGCCCTGGTCTTAGCATAGGCCGTTATCCTAAGATCTAACATAATTGGTTCATGTTGATTTGCTCTGTATTTCCCAGAATTCTCTTTCCTGTGTATGTAATATTAGTGTTTCTCAAAGTTTTTCCACTCTTGGCACCCTTCCGGCCCTTTTTCCTTCCTGTGTCTCCCCTGGTTTGAACCCCCAGCCTCCTTCTGGGGTCCTCTTTTACAGTATTTTCATGTAGCCCAGTTGGTGTCTGAATCCTGCAGGGCCAGGAGACACTCATACATGATTTGAGGAACCATCATTGCGGTAAAAACATTATGAGGTTTACATTTTTTAAAAAAAAAAAAGCATTTTAAGGCAGTTCAATCATCTTTTCAATCCCAGTGTCAAACACTGTTATGGGACACATCAGAAGGGCTCAGACATTATCTGATAATTGAATTATTGAGTGTTTTTTGCTCTTGTGACCAGGCCAGACCATCTGACTAAAGTGGAAAGTGAATTCAAAATTACATACAAAAGTTATGAGATTTGAGAAAAAGGGAAAAGTTTTCTGTCTGTGTCTGACATGTAATGTAAGAAAAGCAGGACAACTATACTTGTGTATCATATAAATATGAAGCACTGGACAATGAAGTAAATGTAAATTTTATGAATACTCCAAACAGGGTCTGATTAGGCTTACGATGTTAAAAGGAAATGTTAGTAAGTAGGAGCAGTACAAATTGCATTGCTGTATCATATAATGATAGAGCTCTTAATATCTTGAATTTAAGACAAGTTGTCCCTTCCCTAAACTGTCTTCCCAAAATTGTCTTCTGCATCAGACACTAAAAATAGGCCTTTCTTTAGTTTTCTCACCATACTATCACATATGCTTCAAAATGTATATTTTTATTCATCTGTTGTTTTCTAGAATAAAGTTTCAAAGTTGCTCACCAGCAACACTTTTATTGGATGTCCAAGTTCGTTTTAGTGTTTAATCCCTAGCTCTACTTATAATTAAGCAATAGACTTACATAAATGAAAGAAGCAACTAACCTTTAATCTGCTACCAGAAAGGTTAATGGCTTCTCTGGAAACCAAATTATCTCTCACAAACAGAGGGATCACTGTTTGACTACAGATCATTCAACCTAGTAGGTCATATTTAATCACAAGTTTATGGTATTAAGAATTGGGGGTGAGTGGAGTTCATGCAAAATTCAATCAGCCTAATCAGTGGCTGAATAAATAGCAGTACTCCTACATAAAAAAAAAAGAATTGGGGGTGAGAACGAATCAGTTTGGGCTTCATGCGTGAATATATCTTTCTCTTAATGGTTTGAGCACTTTGGTTTGAGCACTTTCCTATTTAGCTACAAATGTAAGTCATTCCATAATAAAAGAGATTTTATAATCCTTGAGGTGAAACAACCCTAAATTGGCAAAATGATTAGCATATATACATATATAAATAATTTTGCAAGTGCAAATCAGAGGGTTAGACCCTGTGAGAGAGAGAGGCCAGAGAGATAGTACAGGGGTTGAGCACTTCTCTTTTATGCAACTTGCTCTGGTTCAATCCCTGGTGTCACATGATCTGTTTAGCACCACCAGAGGCACTTCTGAGATCAAAGCCAGGAGCAGCCCCCAAGCACTGCCAGGTGTGATCCAAAAACCCCAAAACAAGAAACCACATGGAGTAGAACAAAGTATGAATACCTGTACTGTGAGAAATATACCCAAATTTGTCCTGCTGTTGGCTATTGACTAGCATATTCTGGCACAATCCATACCAAAAATTTTTTTAAGTAGAGTGACCGTGTGTCTAGTGTGCCCAAGATAGCACCCTAGTTTATTGTTCAAGTAGGTTATTAATAGCATTCCTTTTCATTTTCACAAGTGCATTCTGATACTGATGGTAGATTATATGTTTTTATAAAATAAGAGTGTCTAGACAAAGAGGAATGAAAAAAATGTATTTTTAACTATTCAAGGGCATGCACAGAGACCCATTGCAAATTGGATTCCAGATTTATAGGCAAAAGCCAATTCCAACCTTGACGATGAAAGGAAAAGTGTATGGGTTTGGTTTGGTTGAATTACCTGTGTAATGATGAGACCTTACTAAGAACAATAACTAAGGAAAATCATAGACAGGGAGGCCGGAATGATAGTACAGCGGGTAGGGCGTTTGCCTTGCAAGCAGCTGACCCGGGTTTGATCCCCGGCATCTCATATGGTCCCCCAAGCACCCCCAGGTGAAATTCCTGAGTGCAGAGCCAGGAGAAACCACTGAGCATTGCTGGGTGTGACCTGGAGTGATAGCACAGCGGGTAGGGCCTTTGCCTTGCAGGCGGCCGACCTGGGTTCTATTCCTCCATCCCTCTTGGAGAGCCCGGCAATCTACCGAGAGTATCCCACCCTCATGGCAGAGCTTGGCAAGCCAAGCTCCTCGTGGCATATTCAATAAGCCAAAAACAGTAACAACAAGTCTCACAATGGAGACGTTGCTGGTGCCCACTCGAGGAAATGATGAACAACGGGAGGACAGTGCTACAGTGCTACAGACAGGAGACCATCTGAGCAACACAAACTGGGTTGGTTTTTTTTATATATCATTTTATTTTATTATTTCTTTTATATGTTTAATTTTGGAGGCACTGGGACCTTGACTGGCTTTGTGCAGGACTTACTCCTGGCTCTGTGCTGAGGGATCACTCCTGGTGATG